GCATAAGGTGATTGAGAGCGATTAGAGTAAAGATGCTAAAGAGAGTAGCATTCTGATGTTAAGGATTTGTCTTGACAGGAGCTGCATCGCCACAGGCAGTGCGCAAGATGCTAGCACTTAGTGAGCCCAACAAGACACGGCCTCATCAGCCGCGACATCCTCCCCAGCCACCGCTGCCCATACCTGGGCTAGCCCACTTACCCCACCCCCACCCAGCCCTCTCCCCCTCCCTGTCTCCTAGCTCTCATCGTCGTGTATGCAGTAGTGCAGTAATACCAGGCGTTGCCACTAGAGAACATCATGGGGCGGGTGGCAGGGCGCTACATGAACGCTCCCACTCCGATACTCCAACACTTCCACTTCCGTCAGTGGATCTCAGTGCAGAGAGCAGCAGTGTCACGTCATTAAGCAACCTCCCGCTACGCAAGACCCTGACTTCAGGTATGTCCTGTGCCTCTTTACACTCATAATTGCTGCAGAACGTGTGAGACATCTCAAGAAAGGAACATGTGTATTTAACCAATGCCAATTGTGTGCTATGCTTTGTATTGTTATGTTTCTGGGCTCTGGCCATCATGCAGATACACCCGTCTTGAGTGGACACACGAGGAAGGGAGCACATCCAGCTTCCGAAGCTTACGTTCCTCTTCTTAGAATATCAGACGATGGACAAAGTCCAGGAAACAGTAATTCTATGTGTGTTTGTACCATGGAATTTATAAGCACAAACTTTGTTGGTCAAAGCATGTCAGAAGAAATTGGAGACTTCTTTAGTGTTAATTTCTTTAAACCTGCAGAAATACGTTACAGCTTGAAGGTTCGTGATTAGATATGAAGCTTGCTTATTACATTTGTCACACCAGCCTCAGTTTTTAAAATATATACATAAAATAAAAACAATAAAAAGTCCATTGAATTCCTTTTTTCACATTGACATTGAAATGCCTGCACTGTTTGTGTTTCATAAAATAATTTAAAATTAGAGTGTGATCTTATGAAGTGTGACATTGCAGTATTTCAAAGGAACATACTGCCTCATCTTCAGTGGAAAATTGTGCTTTTGCCCTGAAGTTATAGTCATCCTGCTCCACCAAGATACTGGTAAATGTACTTAGTGTAAAACATCTTCAGGGTGTGTCATCAGATAGTGGCCATAGATTGTTATGTCGTCACGGGAAGTTACTGAACCCTGTTTTCAACAAACAGTGGGAACCAAAAGTGCCATACTGGAGATCGTGTCAAATGCACCAGACTTTTCTTCAGTCAGATGGCTCACCGAAGGTATGACATACCCTTAGAGATGTTCCTGACAGAGGACATATACCAGACTGCATGATGTCACAACCCAGAACATAACAGTCTAAATTTTTACCCTCATCAAAACCTCAAATCTCATAAATTTGAAATGAATTGTACGACAGGTTAATAACAAAGGCAGACAGAATTGTCACTGCTTATTACTTTCTGGAGGAAGAAACTGGTTTTTGAAATCTGTGCTTTCAGTCTCATAGTTGCTTGAGGAACAAAGGTTAATGGGAGTTTACATAAAATGTTTTGTTTACACATGTTGCTTCACTTGGATTTCCTCATCTTGTGTGTGAATTTCCCTTATGTGTAGATGACAGAGATCCCTTTTTTTTTGGTAAAATTCAAATATTAATGCAGATATGTGAGTTATGAACTCTACTTCAGACATGTGTCACTGTTAAGGGATAGACCCTCCCCATCCATTTGTAAATATGTGTATGTAGCAAACGTTGAAGGAAATTTGTGGTGTCTGCTCAGATTTTTAGGGCTGTTATCTGCAAATCTATACATCAGTTGATGATAAATTATCTTCATTCTTTGAGGTACCATACTTCACCAGTGAGAAGCCATGTTGAACTGGTTATAGAAGTGTCCACACAGGGAACTAAACATTACAGCATGCTTGTTAGTCTACTTCACTTTGCCAAGCAGTATATCCTTTTCTTTACGTCTTCAACGCAAACTGTAGGGAAAATTGTAATACCTGTGTTCGTGCCATCACATCCACAAGACTAAAATAATCCCAGTTTTAGGTGTACAATACTGAATTCTACCAGTTAAATGTTGACCATGAAAGGGATCATGTCTATCCATTTATTACCCTGTGTGTAAGATATAATAATGATTTAGCCATTTCAGATTCCCCCATGTGTGTGTTGTGTACATTTCTGTTTCTTGTTGTTATCTGTAAAGTTACTTTGTAATAATTTGTGTTCCTACATGAGGCAGGAGGCTGTGGAATTGAGGTTATGTGTAGTTCTACTCACTCAGCACATTTTGATTTGAGTGCATGCCCTTGCACTCTCCTCTTTTTCTGGCTATTTTCAGAGAAAGCTTTTAGTTACTCTTGAGTCTGTGGCATGATGGATAATAGTGAACATTGCATCTAATATATCCTGGCTTTTGTGACTGATTGCATTGATACAGTCATTGTGTCAAGTATAGTAGTTTGTAGGCCAGAATATCTGATGCTGCATATGTGTTTGCCATATCTTATATTTTGATTAAAGACAGATTCTCTTGGCCTGTAAGATAGATTTGATTCCAGTGCATAAATAAATATTAAGAGTCAGTGCAACTTAGATCTTGCAAGTTGTGATAGGATTAGTCTATTAAGACTTTTATTTTGAAATGAGGTAGGTGTAGCATATATTATTTCTTACTGAAAACCGTCACAACACACCAGTGAGTAATATGTGTAAGTAGCTCTAGGAGATACTTTTGCTACATGTAGGTGTAGCATATGTTTGTATTGAGTGACTGAATTCATAGGACTTTAACTGTAAGGAGGCTGTAGGGTTTGAGATCCTTACATCATTGTTAATGATGAGTACTACTTGTATCTTCTGGGATATAATGCCCTGAAGTCTGTTGAAAGTTAACAGATGTTTCAGAGGAATATGAAAGCAGGTGGCAGTCATGGAACATAGATTGACTTTCAGTGGATTGTACAGCTTTATATCCTGGATGATAGAGCTCTTTGTAAGGAGGTTGGATTACTTCTGCTAGGAGATCTTGTGAAGATTATGGTATGCTGTGTTTTAGGAAAATTATTTACTGAACATTATTGTGATGTAGCCTGCAGTGTATCAGGGTGCCATGTGCAATAATGATCACTTACCAAGAATTACTTTTGAATACTGTTAGAGAGAAATGAATGGCAGTTGAGATTGTTGTCTTCTGGCTTGTGACAATTTGTAGGCTTGTGGATGGATACAGGCATTTTGAAGGAACATGCAGCCTCAGTGTTTGTAATTGAAGTGTATGTCTTAAGGAATTGCCTTGGTTGTGTAGTCTGCTAACAAAGGGGGCACTTCAAGATCCAGGGTGAAATAGTAAGGAAATGTAGCCCCATTCAAGTCAGTAGGAATGATGGCTAGGAAAAAAAATACCCTTTTGAGGGTTACACTTAATGTTCTTCATGGCAGCTTGGAGATAGCATATTCCCTTGAAATGTAACTATCGACCTACACCTACAAGATTACACAGTGTCAGCCCAGAAGTTCACCACAATCTGAACAGTTTGTTTTTTAATTCATGCCGAAAATAGTGTACATGAAGAATCTCCTTGCACTATTGCACTTCAAAAAGTCTTTATTGAACTTAGTCCCATGTTACAGGATTGCAGCTCATGATAAGTAAGAATCTTAGATATAAGTTGTTAGGTTATGTTTACACCATATTTAGTTTAGTCTGAGGATGGATTCTAGGATAACTGTACAGAGTCACAAGGATCAGAATCCTGCTCCTTAAAGGCTGGCTTTGCTAGGAATGAGTCTATGTGTGGCTGGTATTGGTTGATTTGCTAGGTTCAGTGACTTCCAGTGACTCTGGTCACTCCACGCAGCTTGACTCGCATTCCAACAGCTCAGTGGAGGTGGCTGCTGGGCCCAATCAAGGGGGCTGCTCCCCACCCTCACAGCACAGGCGGCACTCCATTATACAGGGTAAGGCCAGCCCGCAAATCAGTTGTAATAGTGTGGGGTGTATGTGTGGGTTAGTTGCATTGTTTCAAATGAGAGGCGGTGATATAGTTTTGTTAGCGTTACAGTTGGAACTTAATCTTTCTGTTCATAAGAAATTATTCTTGTGATTGGATGAATACAGGGTTGTTCAACTGTGGTGCCATTTTGTGCCATCCCCCAATATGAGTGTTCATGATTTCCTTCACTCTAAGAAATCAATCAATCAATCAGTCAAAGGGTAGACAGTATGAAAAGGGCTTCTGAATATTGTGTGTATTTATTTAGTTGATTTCTCATAATACCTAATAAATAACATTGAAAGGTATGAAATTAGTATGGCACTATGATTGTAAGTAATGTTGATTTAGTCTGGCAGAAGTCTAATGGCTGATTTTTAGGCATGATCAACCTGGCGACACTGTCTGACAGTGTTGTTACATACTCAGCATTGCTGTGTTGCCTGACTGCTCAGATTAAAATGTTGCAAAGAAAATATATGATCTAAAATTCATCTCTTGCAACAGGTAGGGTACCAAAGCTAAAATGCAGCCCCTCAGTGGTTAAGTTGGACAGCCATGGTCTTATATGCTATTTACTCTGTAGTCTCCATCAAAAAAGTCGGTCACATAGGTGTCATAGGAAACATGACTACTGAATCATTGTACTGTAATATGAAAATCATAAAAATAGCCTGAATTTTATTTGCCAGCTAAAATTATGAAAGAAATTAAAATTGTAATTAATTCAAGTTTGAGATTTTCATTGCCATGAAAACTAAGAATATGGCCTTCTTAATTGTGACACCTTGTAGTCACATAGGTAGCCTGAAGGTGGAAGCACCACCTATAAGACTACATAGTATATTAATCCTGAAGACATCTGTTGAAAATATCGCTCAAATTTGATGTAAAAAGAAAACATTTGTATTTGTGTCTAATGACCAGAAGTATTTTCACACAAAAAACTAGTTCAGAACTCTGTTTCTAACAAGAGGCAGGGTACATAGACAGGCATGGTCAAACATATGATATTTATTTGTATTATGAACTGCTTTACATGAAACTGAAAGATAAATTGACTGTCATCTCATATTGAAGTTCGCCATATGAATAGTATTCTTTCCTGTCTTATGTTTCAATTTGGTCTGCTTTCTTAATTTTTTAATTCATTATATAATTTATTTGACAGTCATTAAAAATTAAACTTTGTTTATAACATAAATATGTTGTTTGTGTATAGCATAATTATTTAGCACTGAAGTGTGATTATGTGTCAGGATTTGACCTTCTCATTTGTATCTGGCCACTCTTTCTTTTATTTCAGAGTTTAACAGCCTATGTGAGATTTTGAGGTTATGGTGGTCTTGTGGCTTATGACATGTTGCAGTCTCATATGTACCCAGAAGTTGGAGGCATCAGGTTCCTCCAAGACTTCAGTAATGACTTCTGATATGTTTGTAGGCTTGCAGGTACCCTGAAGATGGAGGCAGCAAGCTGCTCAGACACTGGTAATGACCCATGAGGCCAAATGGTGTCATAATCCAGAAGACCACAATCTGAAATTTTAATGCCTTCATTTTGTTTTGTTCCTTAGTCTAATTTTACAACTAATAATAAACATATCTCTTGACTTCAGGTGAATTTCACTACACAAGTCATTGTTTTAAATCTGAACATGATTTGGGGGGGGAGCAATATTAGCAATTTAGCAATATTGTGGTAGATTTGTATGTTGTAACTGATGTCCTCTTTCTGTAGGACATCCTGTGATTTGCAAAGGATTGTAGGGGGTGAAATATATAGATAGAGCATGAATGTGTATATTGTGTCTGTCCATATGTGTGCATGTATATCTCCTGGGATAGCATGTTGCATTATGAAATTGCTTGTTCTGTTACAGCAGAATTGCTCTTAATGCATTATACATAACTGGAAACAAATATCTGAAAATATGGATTACTTTAGTTTGTTGTGAATTAAAAATGATGAAAATATTCTTTAACCGTGGTACAAGTGATGCCAATTTCTTTCTCGCTCTATTTGTGGGGACTGATGATATGAAATGAACCAGAGCATAGACTTCACAATGTCAGCATCAGTAAACATTTTATAGAATTTGTATCATGATTAATATCATTATTATGACTATTGTCTTTGAAAAACTCAGGATGATGGACAGTGTGTAAATTAATATGTATGTATGATGATGATGATGATGATGATGATGATGATGATGTACATTCTTTGAACTGTTTTGAGTAGTGTTAGGTATTGGTGTGGACATTATTGATACAGTAAGTAAGTTAGCTACCTGTGTTGGGCCTCGTAGCTTGAAATGTGCTTGTGTCTGGGGGAGTGTCCAGCTATTGATCGATCGGAGATGCATGCCATAGCATGAGGGGCATCACAGGAGCTGTCTGGTGCCTGCTTGCTGGGTCTCATCTTTCTGTCTGTCTATCTGTCTGTTGTTGCAGTAGCGCCCTCTCCTCCTAGTTGGCCTTGGCCACCCTTTCCGCATGCAGTTCCAGTGCTGCCACCTATCCCACCTTATGGTAAGTTGTCATGATGATGGTGGTGGATAACCTTGCTTGTTGAGCTTTGTGTCAGAGTGGATGTTCTGAAAGTTGCATCACATGTTATTGATGTGAAGATAACATTAAAATGAATCTTAGGGAAACAGAGTTAGAAGCTGTGGACTGGTTTCAACTGGCTCAGTACAGTTTGTAGATCATGTTGTACCAGAACATACGGCGTCACATCCGAAAAGAATGAACATCAAAAGCAAGGAATGGCCTGATAGCTTGAGTAACTATCAACTTTTCAGAGAAGGGTGTGAACTGTGGAGTTAGTTAATTATATTTGTTGTTAAGATTCTTAAAAGGTCTGTTAGTATTGAACTGTTTTCTTTTTAGTTACTTGAAAACTGAAACACAGGAAACGATTAATCTGAAAGAGAAGTAACCCAGACTTGAACAGTTTTGTCTGTACTATTTATTGCAAGAAGAAAACTTGAAATTCTGGGTTATATGTATTGTGTTAACAAAATTGAGATATTCCTTGGTAGTCAGGTATTCATGGTACAATACATATTTGTTTGTAGGTTATGAGGTCAGTGAACTGAGATTATTCCCTCCCAACCAGATGAACTGCATTTTTCTATTATATTGTAGAAAGAATTTGCAAGTTTGTGTCTGTAACTTTTTTCTGAGACTTTTTAGAAATGCAGTATTAACAACATTTTAACATTTTGCAACTTAACAATTATAATTGTCTCCATTTTGTATTAAAAAGTGACACTTCTGATTGTCTTTAATGATTATCTCCAGAGGAAATATTAAATAGGTACATGCAGCATTATTCTCCTATTTATAGACATTCTGTTTTATTTTGTAAATTTTAGGCTTCACTGTAGACATTTTCTGGTATACATAAGTATTTGTATACTTTTACTAATATATTATTAAGAGCTATAATGGTTTTTTTTTTGGAAGGGGGAGGTCAGAGTCACAACTAATCCCTAATTAAAGAGTTTCTGGATATGTTTTGTGTTAGTAAATGTGCTGATTAACTTTGCTAGATCATTTGTGTACTACATCAATTATTGTCCGTGATGTGTATGTATTGACCGTCTTCTAGTGCACACAATCTCACTTGACTACATGTGCACTAGAAGACAGTCAATACATACACATCACGGATGCGAATCAGTGCAACAGGACGCTAAAATACAACATTACATCAGTTATACTTTGATTTTGTCGTGATTTATTTCAACAAGTTTTGGAAATCATCTGTTGCTTGTCATCAGTGGTACCACTGTCAAATTGACTTCTGTTTTCCCTGTATATACCTCTTGTATTTATGTATATATCAAAATAGCAAGCCAGAAATTCATTCTGCATATGTCCACTACATTATTACTGAACATTACTCATTTTCAGTTCCCTTTCTTATCTTTTCTATGAGTAGTTCTTCCACAGACCGTTAATGTGTTCTGTACATATTTTGCTGATGATTCAGGTTAATTCTTCCCTGTTTGTATCAAAACTCAATGAAAAACGGAAATTAATATTCATTCTGGCAGATTACTTTCACTGGACATAATTTTACTACTGTTTTAGGCATGTTCTGACATCTCAAGTTCTGTCCATTTACATTTCCAAGTAATGGGAAATGAAGCAATGTGTATATTATTTCCTATCTACACCAGTTTGAGTTCTAATTTATGGTAAGATAAGCTTGATAACACATTTCAGCACATGCACCATCATTAGATTATAAATGAACTTAGTCTGCCATCTTGTTGTGTAGTATGTTAACTCTGTGGCCTGTTGGTGGTGTGTTGAGTTGAGTTGGCACTCTACAAGGTGGATGTGTGATGTGTCAGTCCCATGACAGTGGATAAATCTTCTGAGATGTGACACTGTGTAGCCTGGTAGATTGTTACTGCTTCCATCCTCAGGTTTGGAGATGGAGACAGCAGGTGTCTTCAAAATGTAACTTTTTGCCAGGCTATATGGCGATACATCCCCATGTGAGGGAGGTTTGAATACCTCCACCCTAGCCCTGCGTGTAGTCGGAGGCGATAAAAAGGGAACCCAGTCCCTGGGGCTGTAACTGGGCCACATAAATACAGAGACCTGGTCCTCCAGTCTGGGGGTTGGACACAAGGCTGATGACCTTGCTCCATAAAAGTAATTTTGTTGCAAAATTGAAAGGAGTTATAACCAAGTGGTCTAATTCAAGACAAATCGGGCAGAATCTTGTAACGAAGGCTGGGGTCCAAGAAAGGGCTGTTTCGCCAATGATGATATATCATTTTATGCTAGAAGACAGTAACCTTAACAACAGATGTGGAGACTGTAGCCCACATGTGCTGAAGGTGCATCTCAAGCTGATGCAGGTGGAGAGCAATGTATGTGTATGTGTATATATGTATACTGCTCTGCTTGTGAACTTGTTCCTTGTGCAGTAATATGCAAGTATGTTGAATGATGCTTGGAACTGCATATTTAGAGCAATGCTTGCAAGAGTGTCACAGATGACAGTAGTGGTTGGGGTTGCAGGTTGTGTGATGCCACCTCCAAGGGATGCACCCCCTCGTCCCCGTCATCCTCCTGCTTACACAGTAGCAGCACAAATGGCACGACTTCAGAGGTTAGGACGAGCACATTCTCACGAAGGTGTGACGGGTGGATATTACCACACAGATCCTGAAGAAGACGGTGAGCTTGTCCCCCACATGCAGACTCATTTTGTGAACCCTTTTCACATCTTAATGCATTGATGGCTTTGGGAAGAGTCCACTCTGTGTATAAGACATAGATGGGAGGATAATATTAAAATGGTTCTTTAATGAGTAGGATTTGTAGGTCTTGACTGACAAGGGAATGGTGTGATCCGACATGTCGAAACCTGCCCTGATTTTTTTTTTTTTTTCGCTGCAAGAGGGCACATAACAAAATCCACGGTCAAAATTTTAGCTGCTAATACGCACTGCAAGTATGTTTTAAGAATTGCTGAACATGGCCAATATTATAGCCTGCCAGAACCTAGGAGAAATGTCCACCCCTAGCAGAGCAGTACGCAACACGGCTGACTCTCAGCCTAGGCTGGGGTTGTACAAACCTCTGGTACAAGCGGTTCCGCATACAGAAAAAAATTAGTAACTTCGGGAATTTTTAAAAAATACTTGCAGTGCGTATTAGCAGCTAAAATTTTGGCAGTGGATTTTGTTGTGTGTACTCTTGCAGTGAAAAAGAATCAGGGCAGGTTTTGACGTGTCAGATCAGACTATTCCCTTGTGAGTTCAGCTGGGTCAGGATAAGAGCTTGTAGAGTTATTGAGTTTTTGGATATTATCCATCCTCTTCTTTTTATTTAAAACGTTTTCTAGTCTGGCTTCTGGTTCAGGAGATGCGGACTGACTGTTGATTGGGCCCAACTGAGTAGGCCTTTACCTGAAGGCAGAGACTGAATCCAGTCTCTGAAACATTATATATTTTAAATAAAGAAAAACAGGACAATGGATAATGTCCAGAGACTCAGTAAATGTACTAATGTATCATCATCACAAACTTACAGATCTTAAAAGATCCATTGTCAGGCTCTTGGGTTCCTGTAAAAGGCAGGCAATTTCTTGACTATAGCAAGGCAAGGGATGCTAGTGCTTAAGGTTTCTCACTCTGCCTGCAGTGGTGTCCTTCCAGCCTCCTGTGTTGCCCATCCCAAAGTGTTTTTCATTTGTGAGGGTTGTCGTGTGAAGAGAATGGTTAGATGAATGGAAGGGGATGTGTGGAGGTATGCTGAGGGGCTGTGAATGGGGTCAATCCATGGGTCATGTTTCTGTAGCTTCACTGTATCTAAGCAACCATCTCAAGGAAGATCGTGTGGTGTTGCATATCGAGGTTTCTGTGGTTTGAGCTCTAGCCAGTATGCAAATGAAAGTAGGTTTACTTTATGCTGTACATAGTTTGAAACCATGCGGTTTGTTTATCTTGTAATGCCTCCCAGTAGCAGATGGCTTCATAGAGAGCTGTTAGACATCGTGATAAATGGCAAATTATCACAGGCTAGAGGAGCAAAGAAAAAGGACGTTTGAAAGATCTAAAAAGTGCTCCAGCTTTCTGAGCATTATGGTAGTGAGAAAAGCAAACTTTTCTGCACATAGGAGAGTGTGTCACAAGGTGTCATTTCTTCAGGTGCTATTAGACATGTTGCAGAATGGACACAAAAATTTAACTTATGTTTTAAGCAGGACTGACCAACTTTAAACCACTGAGGGCCACTTTGAATCCATCTGTGGGTTGCATCTAGGAAGTATTTTTCTATTTCAGATGACGAGGATGCACAGGTGTCTGCTGTGTGAACGGATTCATGTTCCCGTACGTTCTCAGACTGCTAACTTCAACATTCTCGTAAGTGATTCAGTGTTTGTTTATTGACGCTAAATGTCAGAAGACAAATCTTTTGCCTTTTTGATTGGTGTGGTGGTAAAACGTTGTGTTCACCAATCCATAATGTGGCATATTTAGCAGGCAGGATTGATGTAGACAGTTGGAGAGATAGTGTCCGTGTGTAACTATAGTGTGAAAATAGAATCGCAGACGATGAGCAATACATATTTCTGTATTTAGGTACTTCATCTATACCAGTCACTAATCAGGCTACTGTCAGATTTAAAAAGAAATATTTGTATATTTTTTGTTTCATGTGCATTCAAACCAAAGAGGGCTGTGTGCATTTTTTAATTATATTAATATTGATTTATGAATCTTTGTTGTTATTAGCCCACAGCATGTTTTCAAGAAACCATTCTAGCAATGAAATGAACAAAATGTCCAATGTTTCAGTTTCTTGTTTATGTGAAAAATGGAGTTCTAGTATCAAGGTCAACTGTCACATGTTTATCATGAATAATTATTGTCTTCTGAGTTGTGATGCCATGTAATCCTATTCTTTTCAACCAGAGTGCATAGCATCACATGTCAGGAGATTGTGGACTTCACATGCACCATTGTGACAACCTCAAGGTTTGCTTGGTGCTCATTGCTGAATGTACTTCTTTGCTAGCAATGTTAGTTTTTAGCATTCCTTCGTAACACATATTCCAGAATGTGTATTTATCATTGGAAAGAATCCCTTCTGTGTTAAAATTAAGTAATAAAACTGAATGATACATTCTACAATAGAATGGAGAAAGAATCTGTAAGTATTATCTTTGCCTCTATGCAGTGAGGTAGGTTTTTGTGGTGATGAAGCTGGAAGCTGCATCTCAGTTGTACAACCAAACACTTATCTACTACACAGATTTCAGTTACAAACACTAACATCTGTTTGGATGTGACAAGTTCCAAGAATATATTCATATGCACTTTTGTGAAGACTGTCTTGTTCAAGTAATTGGTCAACAAAGGTTATGGTAAGTTGGAAATATGTATTACGAATAGTATAAGCCAGAATCTTTATTTAATATTTTTAATATCAGTTTTCTTTATCAGTTGTGTTGACAGCCACCAAAATACCTTCAATAGTATAAGCCAGGACTTGGAAAGGAGGGAACAGTGTTCCTTGATATGTAGATGATAGTCTTCTGTGTTTCAAATCCATGTATTCCCATTGGGGCATGCCACCATTTCAGAGGAACCGTGTACACTGAAGATGGAGACAGAAGTTTCCTCTGAAACGTTAGTAAGAAGCAGTGAATTCACAGTTTCTAGGTTTATACTCCTAGAAATGGAAGCACCTAAGTTGTTCAGCATGCTGTTTCAGGTTTGCAGATAATTTTATAACTCATGGTAACAAAGGTGTTCCAATTGCTAGAAGATATCTTTACACTTCTACATGAAGAATGCAATGATAAACTGCTTATGAAATGCACATGCATGAAGGAGCTAATGCTTCCATCTCAGAAACTGGAAGATAAGCAAGCTCTAAGAATTTTATTTGACTTCATTGTCATGAGAAACGTACCAGGACTTGAATGGCACCAGTCACCACCTTGGCACAGCTGCAACACAGATGGTGTCACAAAATCATAATCATGTTTTTACAATAATGGGAACTGAATGTAACCTTTCTCATGTCTTTAAGGAGTGCCATTATGTAAGCATTCTCTTCTGAAGTGTGGGCAATATAAGAATATGCAGGGCACGTCATACATATGAAGGGGGATAGAACATAAATGTATGTGTGTTCAAGAAAAATGAGAGATATTGGAAGTTTTGGATCTGTGGGGGGAGGCAGTTGCATTTGAACCCTGGTGATTAACACTCTTCTCCCCCTCCCCCCACTGCTGAGAATTCACTCATCCCCCAAGTGTACTAAGTAGGTTGAGAGAAAAGATGAGCAATACAAACAGGGAGATGATTCAGCTTCCTACTTTTGGTGTAATTTAATATAAAGAAAGCAGTCTTGCAGGAGTGATGAGAGTTTATTAACCTATGTTGAAAACTGTCGTATCACATAGGTACTATAAGTGTTCAGTTGCCAACATTAAAGAAAAGTACATGACACAGAAATACCAGAAGAAACAGAAAAATAAAGAAATTGGAAGTTTTTCTTGGTCCATGAATGCTAAGTATCTTCTTATAATATTCAATTGCTCAATTTTTGTTGACAGAATCAGACAGACAGGTGACCTAATGAAACTTGACCCTGGTGCGAGTGTTTGTGTAAGCAGTTACTAAATCTTGGTGAACAGTTAGCGGATGTTTGTGTTGGCTCCACAGTGCCCTTATTTCAGAAGAAATGAAATCTCTATGGATTGTGGCTGTCATAGAATATAATTGGGGTTTTAATCTATATAGTAGCAATATCGTAGCAATATCTGAAAGTCCTTATCAATACTAGAAGAGCCTGCTTTAGTTCCATTGCCCCAGCATTCCATTCTTTCATCCTGCTGCTTTGAAGTAAATTTTTCTTTTTGATTAATGTTATATATTTTAATATGCTAGTACATAGCTATACAGAACCTATCATAACAAAGTAATTATGATTTATGGCTTATTTTGAAAGTGCTTATTACACCTGAATGTGTCTCTGTTCATGATAGTTACGACACTCATGCAGTGAAGATGTCAAGACTCATGTCAACAGTTACATTTTTTTTTTATTTGTTTGTGGGGAAACATTTGTATAAACTTTCATACTTAAAACGTTCGAACAAACATGTTCGT